GTCCTCTTTCCACCTATCCCAGGCTCTGTCAAAGACCAACTCAAATCCTAGCTCCTTGGGAAATCAGCCCTGAACACATCAGCTATAGCTATTTTTGTTTTCGGAATTCCTTTACAAATCCCTGTAATTTATTTGGAATTGCTTAGAGCATTTAGAGAGTTCAAGCACTGGAAAAGACCATAGAATCATTCAGTGAAAATTGTCTCATATTGGAAATGAAGAAAACAAAAGTCCAGAGGAATTCTGTAATCTATGGAAGCCATGGTTATTGGAAACTATAAATAAATCCATTTGTCCAATTCCTACAGCAGTCCTTTTTTTTTTTGGTCATGAGGCCCTTCACATTTGTCATTGGCACGGTTGGCACGGTTGGATCCTTTCAATAATGTAAGATGTCTATCCAATGGTACATCTTTTTTTTTTAATTGAATTTATTGGTACATTCTAGGTAGACAGTACAGTTACATTCATTACTGGGATCTTGTACCTTTACATGCCAGGTCTTGGTAAAGGTTGTACTACTTTTTTAAAAAATGCCTCTATTTTATGAACACTGAATTGTGTTTTCCTAAAATTCACAAGTTGAAGCCCCAAACTCCTAGTACCTCAGAACATAACCTTATTTGGAGATACATTTTTTTGGGAGGGTACCAGGGATCAAACTTGGGTCCTTGCTCTTGAGAAGCAGGCAGTGGTACTACTGAGCTAAATCCCTGGCCCTGGAGATACATTCTTTAAAGGTGTAAAGAAGTGGAAATGAGGCATGAAGGTGGCCCTGATCCAATGGACTCGTGCCTCATAGGAAGAAGAGACCCTGGGACCATGTATGCAACAGAGCAAAGGCCGTGTCAACCTACAGCAAGAAGGTGGCCATCTGCCAGACATGAGCAGTCTTGGGGGGAAAAAAATCAAAAACAAAAACCTCCCAATACACTAATCTTGGACTTCCAGCCTCTAGAACTGTTGAGAAATGTTGCTCAAGCCATCCAGTCCATGCTGTTTGGTTATAGCAGCCCCAGCAAACTAATAACAATCCACTCGGAGACCATTTCATCAAAGGAAGCACATTTGAAACCACAATGGTAGGAAGACATAATTTCTGGAAAACAGACACCCTCTAACTAAGGGAAATCCTAAATAAACCTATAGACTGGGAACTCCAAGGTCAAGGCAGATGTAGTTGTCTGCTAAGGGCACTCTGAAATCTCTCTCCTCTCTCCCCTCTCTCTCCATGTTTCTAAGACCACACATTTCATTCATGAAGGCTCCAAGCTCACAAACCTAATCACCTCAGAAAGGCTCTACCTCCTAACTCCATCTCTGGGACTCCCAGGAGTATTCCAACATATGAGTTGTGGCCATAAATATTGAGACCACAGTGTTTGCTATGTTTTTATTTCATCTCATTTTGCTATTAGGCCAATGAAAACTATGTCACTGACTAAGGGACATCTGCTCAAAATATGTTCTGCTTTGTTTTATGGTGCTAAAAAATGAACCCAGGGCATTTGCACTGAGCTATAGCCCCAATTCTTTATTTTTTTATTTTAAGACAGAGTTTTGCCAAATTCCTAAGGATGGGCTTGAACTTGCAAGATTTCTGCCTCAGCCTCCCATAGTGCTGGGATTATAGGCATGTGCCATCACACCCAGCTTCCAAAATCTTTTTTTCTTAATTTTCCATTCACTTGCTCAAAAGGTACAAAACAACCATAGATTACATATGACCATCGATAACTGAACCCAATGAGTTTTGGTTACCTAGTAGGCCTATTGTCATAGTTAGAACATAATTTATAAATTTATCATTTGCTAAAAAAAGGTTTATCCTTTGCTTATATAAGAAATCTTGCTAAAAACATAACATTTCCTCAAATAACTCACGATCTTTTAAATTCACAATTATTAAAGTAGAAATAACTACCCAAAATATTTTTTAAATGCAATTAAATTATAAATACAGTTACAAACTTTGGGAAAATTGTTTATTTCACTCCATGGAGTTAAAACAAGTAATCTCACCTAACTAAAGAGTCAGAACACATGATGTGTACCTCCAGCACTAACTAATAGAGATGATGGCATACCAATAAAATATTTAAATACAGAGACTAATTTTTAAATGTATTTCTATAAATAGTATTAACAGAAAAACACATACAACTTACTTAGACATAAGAAGTTTAATTTATTCATTATGGAAAGAAACTAGTCTTCTAAAACTTTTCACACTTAAAAACACACACACATTGTGGAGCTGGGGAGTAGAGAATACACAAGGGCCTAGGTTCAATTCCCAGCGCCAAAAGCCATACCAAAACAGCCACAGTGTGAGGAGGGGTTCAAAGTTGGAGGAAGCGATCGATTCTGAGCAATAGATTCACAAGCATGACAGTTGTAAGATGTGCCAACAGCACAGGTCACAGACTTGCTCTCCCTCTCCAGGAGGAGGGCATGTCATATTTCATAGTTTCTGAACTTCCTCAGGAGCTCAGAGGGGGCACCCCCAGACCAGCGGAAACGAAAGTGCCAAGAGTTCACATCTGAAAAGCCTTTAGAAGAGAGAAAAGACATTTTAAAAAATCAGACGTAGGAAAAGAAGTCAGGACTCATAATAGTAACACAGCCTGGAGATGAGATTTCACCACAACAGGTAAAATGTAAGGGTTTGACTTCAGTGTGATTATTAATATTTTACAGAAACACATTAACTTAAGCACACTTTGAAATTCTTAGGAAGAAGAAAGTACAATTTATATGCGAGAAGCTCACATGTTTAAATGCTTAATTCTCTCTAATGATGGCAGTTTTAACAATTTCACCTCCAAAACTTGGAAACCATTTTCACACAGCTTTCAAAAACTTTTCAAAAAGTGAAAGGTATGGTGAAGGAGCTCTAGAAATATGAGTAATTAAATTCTGTGGTAATAAGATTTTTTTTAATTCAATAAACATGGTTGTTGAAAACTAAAGAAACGATCATTGTCTTCTCCTGGGAGATCAGTAATATATGCATTTGTAAAACTCTTCAGGACAGCAATTTGGCATCATTTATGAAACTGACAAAAAGGTATAAACCCATAGCCCAATAAGCCTACTTCTGAAAATTCATCCTAAGAAAATAATAATGGATATGCTCGAGGGTTTAACTATAAGGATATTTATGATGGTGTCATTGTAATTGTGATTTTTAATCAAAAAATAATTAAAAGGGGCTGGGTTTTAGCTCAGTGGCACCATGCCTGCCTCGCAACCGCAAGGTCCTGAGTTCAATCCCCGTACTAAATAAATAAATAAATAAAAGATCTAATAGGAAGGTGATTAAAAGTCTTGGATATAGTTATTAACAATGTTTTGAATGTATGCTGGGTATTGAACCAGAACTTTTCACATGCTAAGCATGTGCTCTATCTCTTAGCTACACCCAAACCTAATATTTTCTAATATTTACTGTCATAGAAAAGTGCTCATGGAATATTGATAAGTGATAGATAATTAGAAAATAGCTTAAGGGCCAGGGATTTAGCTCAGTGTTGTTGCACCTGCCTCACAAGCACAAAGTCCTGAGTTTGATCCCCAGTACCAAAAAACAGAAAACAGCTTATACAGTATGATCTCATTCCTAAATTCATTATCTACACAGGTACTGCATGAATTTTTAAACATAAAAGGAAGTACACCAAAGTGCTAACAGTAGCTTTTAAGTAGTTGAAATAGATATAATTATCATTTTTATACTTTGTTCATCCCAACTTTATTTTTCTGCAGTAGAAAAGGTATATTTTGTGTCTTTTTAACATTTGTAATTTCACTAGTGAAAAAGCAATTTTAAAAATAATATGTAAAATGTTTTCATTGACATTTAAATACATTAAATATCTAGTTGGGAAAAATAGACACAATAATTTACAGTTTATCTCAGGAAAACAGGATTTGGCTGCATTTTTTTTTAATTACCAGAGAAAACAAATCAAAGAATTTCCATTTGGGGAAAAGGGAAAAGAGAGTTGTTTCTGATGACCAATAATTAAAACTCACAATATATGTACAATGTGTTCCTTCCAGATTTAGTTATACTATTTTCTTCCTTTTGCTTGATTATATTTTCTCACATTCCTACAGTATATAAGTACTATTTTTGTGGTTTTAAAAATATGTGATTTCATATTTGGTTCCTCTAGAGATAGACACATTGTGTGTGGGACCCAAAATATCCTCAAAGTCTCACTGTCTTGAAGACCTGATTGCCAGCTGACGGAATCTGAGGACCAAATGGATCATGAGGGCTCTGACTTCGAGTGGATTAGCCCATTCAGGAGCTCATAGCTCAACCGGCTTATCCGGATGTGGGGCCTGAACGAATGAGGTGGATCACTAGGGGCATGTTTTCATAGGCTGTCCTTGGCCCTTTTCGCTCAGTTTTTCCCCTTTCTTTCTGCTTGCTGACTGCCATGAGGTGAGCAGCTTTCCCTCATCACACCCTTCTACCATGATATTGCTGCCTTGGAACCAGCTGGCCAGGTATGGAGACTGGGGCGAACACCAAGTTATTGTCCGTCTATGGTTCTTTCATTTGTTTTTTTTTTTAGTGATAAACTCAAATTGCTTGATATTTAGAAATATCAAAATAACTATGAGGGAAGAAAGAGAGGAAGGGAGGGAGGGAGGAAGGAAAGAAAGAGAGAGAGAGAGAGAGAGAGAGAGAGAGCAAGGAAGGAAGGAAGGAAGAGAAAGAAAAAGCTTCACACAATCCTTGAGAGAGGTTCGAGTGGGGCCTCAGTACACACACCTGAGTTTCTGCAACGTCCAATCCCTCCTCCCAGTTCTTGTAAAAATGGACTAGGTGTAAATCTGACTAGAAGTGGTGGCACTCTCCTGTAGTCTTAGCACTTTAGGAGGCTGAGGCAGAAGGATTGCTAGTTCAGGCCTACCCTGCACAACTTTGTGACTTACTGAGACCCTGTCACAAAATAAGAAATGAAAAGGGTTAGAATGTAGCTTAGCATGAAGGCCCTGGGTTTGATCCCCAGTACCACAGATACAAATAAATAAATAAATAAATCTGACTGAAACAGACAGAACTGAACGCTCCAGGGCTCAAAGGTGAAATGTTTGCCTGTCACCTGTTTGAGCATACCGTGGGGAGGGCAGGGGAGACATGTTTATATGTTTGTGTTTGCTCAAAATTCTGTTTTGTGAAATGCACTCTTCTGCTTTAATCAAGCTTATTATCATTTAACCACCATAACCACTGTGCAACAAATGTGATGACACTACAGAGGTCTCTTGGGTAATGAGCAGAGACACCTGAATCAAACTCTAAATAAAACTCCTCATTCACAAGGACCCGAGTTCAATCCCCGTTACCAAAAACAAAAAACAAAAAACTCCTCATTCCCATCAATTACCAACTATGTAAAAGTTCTCCCCAAAGAGAAATTTGAAGTGACCATTTCTATAAAGACTTCATTCACCACAAGCTATCTAATTATCTTCTTTTCAAACAACTGTTCAAGAATGTTCAGGAAACTTCTATTTAAGGGCCAACTTCTAATGGGGTCCTGCAACCCCAAGAATCAGCAAATAAGAACTTGAAGGACAGTTAAAATGTATGTACACAAGGCACCTAAACTATTGACAGAGTGATGGTCAGATAGACCAGAAAATAATAGCAGCCAACATTTACTCAAAGCCTATGTGACAATTAACCCTGATAAATCAGCTTCAGTGGATCAAGAAATGCCTAGCAGATTAAAGGCGCACACTACTGTGTGAGGGTGGGTTATGGAAGTGTGGCCTTTGGTACTATATATGGTCCCTCAATTGTTCCTCTCAGGTTTCCTGGCCTCCATGAACTAAGCAGCTTTGCTCCACCCATCCACCATGTTTCTGCCTTGGAGCCAGAGCAAATTAAGCGGCTCCTCCAAGTTGTGGGTGTTATAGATCATGTCTCGGCAAGAAGAAAGCCGACAAATTCAGCCTGCTCTAGGCAAATCAATCACTATGCTAAACATTTTGATTGAATCTCCCCATTTAATCCTTATGGTAACTCTGTGAGAAGGTGATGATGATGATGATGATGATGATGATGATGATGATGATGATCATGATGCTCATTTTATAGGTGAGCAAACTGAGGTCTAGGGAACGAAGGGCTGGGGATTTAGCTCAGCAGTGCCTCCGCCTGCCTCATAAGAGCAAGGTCCCAAGTTCGATCCCCGGTACCAAAAAAAAAAGAAAAGAGAGAGAGAATTAAATAACTTTTGCTAAGTAGGGTAGTGAAGCTTGGGACCCAGGAGTTGAATTTCTGTAACACCCTCCTTCAGTGGACCTATAACTGACTCAGACTGACTATACAGCTACTTCCCTGCGAGGAGTCACCACAGGGTAGTGCAGTTCCTTCGACACAGACCCTGAGGCCTTGTTGCCTTGGTTCAAACCCCTGCCATACCACAGCTGAGCTGTATTATCCTTGAGCAAACTATTCAACATTTCAAGGCATTAGTCTTCTCATGTGTAAAATGAAAATACTGATAGTAGTATCAACCTTCCAAGTTTCTAGTGAGGGCTTAAAAAGTTAATACATGCAAATTTTAAATTAAATGAGGTAATAATGTTAAAGTCATATATGTAAAAACTATCTCTGCACATATCAAAAGTTCAGTAAATGCTCAGCTAGTGCTTTTTCAATTATGCAAAAGATATTCTGAGAAACATCACAGCTTTCCCTGTGAAGTAACGTATTTTCCACTTTCTGTGTTAATGCTGACACAGAATCCTCCCATCTCAGCCTCCAGGGTAGCTAGAGCTACAGGTTTGTACCACCACTCTCTGCTCAGAATCTTTTAAGATGCTAAACCAATCTTAGATTTGACTCTACTGTGCAGATTGGAGACAACTGATATATATATAT